AATAAACGTCTGTGACATTCGTACCGATACCAATTATAATTCAAATTACAGGAAAGATAGTGAATGACACGACAGGAGGTGATAGTAAAAGTAAAACATATCATCAACTTGATTTCATTTGGAAGCAAAGTGGAATAATAAAAAAAGGATTAATACCTCTTCCTTGTCCGGCAGGCGGCATCATTGCACCACAATAAATGACGAAAACAAGAAATACGACTAACATTGCCATATCTTAAGTTACTGTCAAAATGTTATAATGAAGAAAATTTATTCTTGAATACTGTAATTCTTCATGATGAGTAATCAGTAAGGTTTTATCAAGAAAGAATATGATTTGCTATACAAAATTTTAGCGAACATCTACCACGAACATTTTCTTCAAAAACGAAAAAGAATGGCGGAATTAATAATTATTAATGGTTAAAAACACAGAAACTGCGCTTTTATACTTCGGCAGCGGGATCAGTGAATGTGGTTGTAGACGTATTTTTTTTGTTCTGTGACCTGATTATTTTCCATATTTGTTTTGAGAGTGACAAATGAATGGATTAAAGTGAATAAGTAGAAAAGAAGTGATGTATAGGGTAACGGTGAAACTAACCATCCAGTTATTATATTTTGACAATTAGTTATCAGCAAGCTGCAAATCCGAATAAATAGCAATTAATTCTGTCCATATCACTGATCAAAATAATGTACCATCATATCACATGCGATAGTCATTTAACACAAACTGAAGGACAATATCGCTGCACCTAAGAGTAGACTTTCGACTTTTTGTCTTTTTGCTTAATTTTTATGGAATTTCTGCAATTCAAATTTGAAACCAAATGTGTTAGCTTCCTTTTAAACTGAATTATCCAAATTTCAATGCGATGAAAGTTGTTTCAGTGCTATAAACTAATTTGTCAATGTTGTCGAAAAAATAAACTATCATCGAAAATAAGCAGGAATCTTTCTGAAGCAACTGCGCATTTGTAATTTGATATGGCATGTTTTCGAGGTCATCTGCGCATTGTTTTTCGACAGGGAATTCCTCTTCAAATTCTCTTCCCTTTATGTGTTCATTTAGAGTATCGGTTTGATTTTTTCCATTCTCTTCCTTCATTATGGCAAGTTTGACAAATAAATAAATACATTACTGCATTTGGTCACTTCACCTACTTTTTGGTTACAGTTGTCGTTCTTCATAAAATCAGATTGATTACCCTATTAATTAGCCATTATCCCTCAACTATGCTTAATTCTATTATTATTGCCATTAAAATTTCTCAAGACTACCACGCAATCTGCTTTTCATTACATTATGCCCGTGTTTCCCATCACATTTTCTTTTATACCGTTTTCTCTTGCTTTTTTTGCAGTTCTTCAGGTTTCTTTTCTTGCAGTTCTTGTACCATTTATCTTTAATGTTTTTAATTTTATCGGTCGTTCCATCATGTTGAGAAAATTAAGCAAAATCAACTTGACCCATATGTAAGAATGTCCCATGGCAGGTCCTGCTGTTAACTGTAAAAGTTTTTCTTGAGAAAGTCTAGGAAATAGATTG